CTTGTTTGGTTTTGTGATTGTCTGAATAAATTTCTATATAGTTTAATTCTCATTAGAAAAATATTTTTAAAAGTCTTCTTTTTTTTTTTAACAAACAAAAAAAAGTCTTCCATTTTAAATTGCTAAATTTGTTTGTAGCAATAAAAATTCCTATTTTTAAGGCCTAATTGATGAATAAGTTAGGAATTTTAGAAGGAAAATTTGAAAATAATAAAAGTGGGCAGGGGTATTTATTATGACTGATAATGAGTTTTAAAGTTAGCCACTAAAACTAGATTTATAAACGCATCACGGTTATAATGAAAAAATAATCTTCTTTAGGTCCTCAAGTCTAAATGCCCCTTAATTGTGCTCCGAAGATCTTAATTGTAACCATAATTTGCTTATATGTTTGCTAAGCTATGAATATTTGAATACAATCGATATATGATATTATCTACTCCAAGACCAACTCCAACTCTTGGAGTAAAACTCAAATTTTCGGTTCTAAACCTATCCCAACTTGCCCCAACCCTTGGGCCAAATATGAGCTTTAACCCAAAACTCATTTTTGAGACAAATTTAACCCAGAATTGCCTCCGGGTTAGTGGGTTAGCCCACTATATATGTGTATTTTATTTTAGTTTTATATTTATAAATTCATTGAATTCAACGGCTAAGATCTAATATGATCAAATCTAACGGTAAAGAAAAAGATCTAACGATTCAAATTTAAATTCAACGGCTAAAATAATTTAAAAAAAAAAAATCTTTCATGTGTGTCATATTCTTTCATAGTGCTCCACGAGTTTCATGATTTTGATTTAGTGATTTTTCAATATTTATCGGAATCTAAATATTTTTAAGTTAAAATGTTCATAAAAAAAAAATACCGAAAAGGCCTTTGCATGTGTGCTGAATCAGTACTCGATACACTTTGTACAGTTAGCCACTTTCAGTACCGACATTACTATTTTTGGTTCAGCATCTTTCGTTAGATCTGGGCCTCTCTACGTATTCTCAAGAGAGAAGACGGTACACCACACTTGAAAGTCATCACACAGCTCACGCCTGTGAGATCTCAGTTGCCCTATATTCATGGAGTGTATATTATGAAGACATATGCATGTCTTCTGTTTTCTTTGCAGGCAAGATAGACTTACTTTCTTGTCATCATTAAGTAACAATCTAAAGGTGTAATGTATGAATACAAATATCATAACCTGAACAATTTATGCTACTGTTTAACAGTTCAAATTGTTCATTTTACCATCTAAACGATACAAATATCACAATTTGAATAATTAATCAGGACATTTGTAAAATGATGACACGTCGTCATGTAATATGAATCGTTCTTCCTTACTTTACAACGTGACATTATCTCACCGTATAAGTGTTGTATAAGTGTTGTGATTCAACCATTCGCTTATAATCATCTGAAGATCATCTCTAAAAGAACTTGTTTAATATGGAGACCGTTTAGGCATTCCTATTTGTCAAACAAATCAACGGTTTTGCTAACAAGTAATATCATCATGATTAACCGTTAATTTGTTTAATTCATATGAATAATTAAACGGTCTCGAATTGTGATATTTACTTATTAAAATAATGTCACATCATCATATAAGAAGGAATGACTTGTTACATGTAAAAATAAATGACTCCTTATATATAAGGAACCAAGTAGTAGCCTTTAGGCTAGGGTACATAATATGTCAGCTATAATAATTAGATATTGAACTTGTCATTAAAGTGAGTTGAACCTCGAACCTCCAACTTACAGGTAGGAAGAGTATCCATAAATCATAGTGATACTAACATATAAACATATTTGCTAACCACATTGCTAGGAGAGACGAAACCGATCTATATAAAAGTGATTTTTGTTGCTAAGGATCGTAATGATATTAATTTAATCGTGTTCAATGTTTTCTTGTAATTAGCTAGGACGTCTAATCAGCTCCCTTATTGCTTCAATTTGACGTTTGAATTAATGGTCGTTTTCCCGTTTTTAGGTTACCAATCGAATACTCAAGCCTTCCCTCCCTCCCAAATTGCAGTTGTGTTTAGCTAACAAGTATTTCAAATTTTAAACCAATGGGTCAGTGACCAACTAACACACCAATTTCACTCCTAATTCAACCCTACAAAATGGGAACCACCTATACCTACAAAAGAAAAACTAATGACGATATCCAGTGGGTTTGGTTCGAAATTTATAATTTTTGTTTTGGAATAGGACTTTTTTGTTTAGAACGTATAGCTTTGGATTCTGACTTAAAACTATTTGGTCGAGAGTTTAACTATGTCTGGCAATTTCTTGCACAATCCATTAACCAGACACAAGACGACACAAAATTAACAAGTTTGTTATTGACATGTTAATGAGTTAGGTCGTTATCAGGCTAACCTTTAAAAACCCGTTAATGAGTAGGGTCGTTATCGAAGCACCTAATAAGAACTCGATAAGATTCTATATACCATATCTAGACATTAAGTATCACAATTTTTTGCATGACCCATTACCCGACACAAAACAACCCAACTCGTTAACGAATTGGATCGTTATCGGATCACCTGTTAAAAACCCATAAAGATAACAGGTATAATACGAAAATGACACAAACATGATAAACACGACTCATTTGTCTAAGCCTAAGTTCAATGCACTAGGCGAACCCAAAACAATATTTACAAGGATACGCAAAATAATTTGTCACAAGAAGGAAGGGTACCATGCATGAACCTTTCCTAAGAAAGTAAATTCTATATTCTTCAAACTGTAACCGTTGTATTAATTTGCTACGTTTTTATTAAATTCAAGGATGTGAAGACTCCCCTATTTATACTATTAATTATATTATTTTCATGTCCATCTTTTGGTTTTTCAATGTTTGGGTTTTCTGTTTTAAAACGTAAAGGTTTACCATTTGTAACTGAATTGCATTAACAATAAATAAGATTTTTATTTGCGGAAGAGAAATTAATAAACCTTAGAAATACATAAATAATAAAATTTCATGAATTCTAAATTTATCTTTCTTTGGCTAGAAGACGAACATATACGTTATGCGTTATTATACAAGTGATGTACATTTAAAAAAAGATATTTTTTCTACTTGTATAGTAACATTTCGTGTCCAGAGCCTTCGAAAAATCTCTCCATCATAGTAGGCAGTAGGTGAATCTCACGGCTGCTTTTATTTCGTGGACCCAAATGATAACTATCATCCATTTCATCACCATCATAGAGAGGCACAACTCCACGTTATCCAATGGCAATGGCATCCTGCAAGTCAGTTCACTCCCCCTTACCTACGTGCCATCAAGTATTTATCAAATTCCCCTTATTTGGCTTATCCATATCTCTTTGAGCTTAAATTCTTAATTATCATTAGAAATATTCTTATCATACTTTTTAGGCTAGCCGACTTTTTATAGAAAGAATATTGAATTTTTTTTCCATGATCGATCAATTTTGGGGTGGGAAATTTGGATTGACATGATGAATTAACCTTAACTACGTATCATATTCGTTATTTATAATAATCAAACTTGAGATCTTTTACTTAAGATTGAAAATGAACATCATTGTACAACAATGTTAGAAGCCAAGAAGATTGGAATTTAAATTCAAATTATTATTCGAGTTGATCTTTATACGAACAATATATACTATTGTTTCTACCACATGATGCGATGAATGACAATACAACCTAGTTAAGACATGTATTCAAATTTGATAATCAAATTTATCGTTTAAACACGGGTCCATCAACCATCTAGATTTTACTATCACTCATCATTGCAACCTGTCACATGGCAAAAACAACTACACTGAAGTTTTTCTTCGTTACACTGCACAATTGGGACGTAACACACCCGTGTTGCCTGACAATAAACGTTTCCCCCAATTATTACATGTACTAATTGTGTGATAATGCCCTGATAAAAACAAATGAATAATGTTGTTTAAATACACAAAATTGACACAGTTGTTAACACACTTTCTAATATAGGTGGATCCCACATGTAACGGTATGGTCCTCTCTATTAGATGAAGTGTTATTAAATGTGTCGATTTTGTGTGTTTAGGTAACAATGGAATTCTATACAACCCAAAAATAAAAATAAATATATATATATATATATATATATAAATAAAAAAAAACTAACATACATGATAGATTCATAGACCTATTCTTTAGGACAATCCATTAACAAAATTTCCCTCATATTGCGGCTGTCAATCTTTGGTTGACTCAGAATATAGTATAGGTTAGGTTAGGAGCTAACTAATCCAGATTATATGGTTTTAATATTGTATTTGTAGGGATAACAAAAAAGATCAGATAGACTACCCAGACACTTATTACTCATTTGGTATACCTGTGTTTTAAGGGCTGGTTTGGTATTGCTGTGCTTTGAAAAAAAGCTGCTGTGAAAATAAGCGGTTGTACTGTGAGAATAAGCGGCTGTGAAATAAATCAGCAGAGTGTTTGGTAAACTTTTTTGTAAAAGTGCTTTTGGAAAAAAAAAGCAGTCAAATAGTGGGTATTTTCATTAAAGAAGTACTGTAGCTCCGTGTGCTTTGAAAAAAAGCCATTTTTCCAAAGCTGCAAATAGCAGCTTCAGCTTTTTCCTTTGATTTCAGCTTATTCTCACAACAGCTTCCAAAATAAGCCCTTTTTTTTCAGTTTACCAAACACATAAAACCCTCACAGCTTTTTTTCATGGGTGCTTTTTTTTAAGCACCTCACTCCCAAACTAGGTCTAAGTACACTTAAAATTTTCTCCATTAGTGTAATGCTAATTTATTTGCTTTCAATATTTTATTTAAACAATTGTTAAGGTTATTGGAATCGTAATTAATGTGGCTAGGCTGCCCTAGAACACATGGATTTCACTGTCTTGCCCTTTATTTTTCTTCACTAATTAATTTTTTATTTTATTTTATTTTTTATTTTCATTTTTACACTTAATGTTGTGAATAAGAAAGGACACCCCCACTTGGAAGCAAACCATATACAAGACAAGTATTTTTTTTCTCCTTCTTCCATAGCCAAAAAGGAAGACCAAACTCCCTCCCTTCTTCCTCTCCAAATTTGAGTCCCCATTTCTTCTCATTTCCTTTCGATCTTCGTCCCCTTAGGAACATCCGACAAAGTTAGAACGATACAGAATATATAGATCAATCTTCGAATTTTCGATCTTCGGATTTCTCATACACAATGAGAAGCATAGCAACTTGTTATAGCGAGCATGCCATAAAGGTCTCAGATTCGTATTGCTCAGGCCCATCAAACCAAGCTTATGTGACCCCAAAATTAACCCCATCAATCCCAAACGAAGTGTCATGTTTATACAGAGCCAGGCTCTCAACCCAGAACCGGATTTTGATCACCCTCACCTGGTTCAACAAATTCACTGCCCAAGGACTCACGGTCACCGTTGGAGACAACAAATCTCAGCCGTCCAAATCCAATTCCGATTCCCACAAGTTGGAAAACCAAAAGGGCACCTTGGCATTCCAATCCTGCAATACCAAGATTGAAGTCTTCTGGGATTTGTCCACTGCCAATTATGATTCCGGACCGGAACCGGCAACCGGGTTTTTCGTCATGGTTCTAGCTGACTCGGAACTCTGCCTCCTCCTCGGCGACAAGGTCGAACAAGTTCTGGACTTGGAGAAGTACAAAACCATCATGTCACAGAAAAAATTCACATTGGTTTCTAGGAGTGAGCATTTTTCAGGCAGTGCTGTGTATGCAACAAAAGCTCAATTCTGTGACACTGGACTATCACATGACATCGTGATCAAGTGTGATCAACCCGAAGAACCGGGCTCGAAAAGCCCGGTTTTATCGGTCTGCATTGACAAGAAGAAGGTTTTTCAGGTGAAGAGGTTGAGGTGGAATTTCAGAGGAAACCAAACAATTTTTTTGGATGGTTTGCTGGTGGATTTGATGTGGGATATCCATGACTGGTTGTTCAATCCAAAATCTGGGGTAGCTGTCTTTATGTTCAGGACAAGGAGTGGATTGGATAGCAGGCTCTGGTTGGAAGACAAGAATTTAGAAAAGAAAGGGCAAGAAAGTGCTGATGAATTTTCTTTCTTGATCTGTGCGTGTAAGAGACCTGACTGATTTCTTTGTTTTTTTTTTTTCTCTAATTTTTTTCTTTTTTTTTAATATTTATTTTATATTTTATTTAGTGAACAGAAAAAATTATATTAACATTGACTTTATAAGTTGTTTGTTTATTTTATAGTTTTAAAAGTTGAACATTAGATGAAATTATATGCTTTACTTGAAGAAGAAAAATTGTATAAATTGTAATTTTACTGGAAGCATTTGCATTAAAATGACAAAAATTATATGCTTTACTTGAAGAAGAAAAATTATATTAGAAGACTCAAATTTTCCTTCCTTCTTTTTGTCTTATGTTTGAATGAAGAAAATTAAGATTACCAAGGAATTTTAAAATGACAAAAATTGAATTGAAGGGATTTTATTTTCTAGAATTTGTGAATTTTCTTGTTTGGTTAGCCTAAAAGAACAATGATATTGAATGCGGAATTTGTTATTTTTAAGCTCTCAATCATATAAATTGGGAAATGACACCTATGTATATGGAATTTAAACTTGGGAATTGGAGATCCCAAATTCCAAGTTTTTTTCCATGCGGAAATTCTAAATTTCTATGTTTATGAATCCAAACAAGAGAATTCGTGCATGTCAATTTAAAAATTCTGACTTTTATCCAAATTCCAAGTTTATTTTCCTCCTCCAAACATTTAGTGATTTTTTGGAATTTATAAGAACATAAATTTTCTGCAAAAGGCCCTTTTTGTTCATGTTAAGTGATTTTTGTCGTATGACCAAAATAGATTGGCTTTTTAAAAGTTAAATCCCAAGGGGCAAAATTTTTTCCAATTAGTTTACCCATTGAAAAGTGCACATTTTTTGGTCTGCCGTTATAACATTTGTTTATGCATTTTTTATGAATTAATTGCCAGGAAACGTGCACAAGCTTCATATTATTGGTTTGCAAATAACGGCTGAATTTTATTACTTGACTTTGGGTTTACCCAATTGATTAAGTTTAAGCTTTGCACAAGTACAACTATTGTTTTGGCATACTTGTCAACCTCATTCGAACCAACAATATAGGTGTTCAAAACGTCTCCAATGTTCGTGAGGTAGGAGAACCGAATCATCTAAGATCGTGATAGACTGACAGTTTTATTATTTTGATTGTAACCCAATTGAAATAAATTATATTTGAGGCACCGCTTGTTACTTTTGAGTTAGGTTTGTATCAAACTCCAACTAGAGGTGACATCTGATCGTTTTGGGTTGTGTACAGGTATCGTTTTAGATCTTTGTCGAGTACTAATTAAGTTTAACACAATGTATGTAGTTAATCATGACACAATCTTAATGATGTTGTACGAGTTTTAAATCATAATTTTATGTCGTGTCAGGAATTATGCCACCAAAACCTAGAGAATTCAAACATGATGCTCATTCTCCGATATGGTATTATGTATACGGGCATAGTAGTTCAACATCATACAATGAACAACGTCAACGACTAGGACTATATAGCTAGTAGCTACTATTTTCACGGATTAAATTTCTTTTGCAAGTGTCAAAATAGGTTAGGTCCAGCCTCACATGTGTCAATAAATTTAAGTCACCATCTCATTGAAATCAAGTGTCATCGGATTTCTCATTTATCCATATTCCAGACAAAACTAAATTGTTAGCCCAAAGCTTGCCTAATAAGATCTATCGTTTTTTGTCAAAGTTGCAAAGAGTTTGTTTCGTTCATCAAATTTAGGCCATGTGTAATGCCTAAAAGTGAGATGGATTGGATAAGATAATTCGTTAGATTTAAAGTTGTTGATGCACAAAACCGGAGGTCTTGGAACAACGTAAATCCGATCGTGAATCTGCAAGAAATGTAAATAACAAAAGATGTATCGTGGTTCACCCCAAGGTCTGGGCTACGTCCACACTGATTATGTATTTCTGAGGGAGAGAGAACATCTGTAATGTGAGAGGGGATGTGAGAGGGGTGAGAAGGCTTAAGGAATGGCCTCCCCTAATTGTGAGGGTGATGGGTCTTTTTATAGAATGAGGACTCCTCACTTATTACATATTTGCCCTTTCCTTTATCACATAATTACATTAAGTCCCTCGAATATTTGTACGAGATCTAAATACGAGGCCCTAAATATGGTATAAACAGTAGTCCCCCAAGTCTTCAGTTAAGAGAGTCTTTTGGCTAGAGACTTGAAATTCAGTTCATATGTGGGCCGAAGTAGCTAGATGTTGTCTTGAACTGATGTTCGATGTGAGGCGGTGCTCAATCTGAAATGACGCTCAACTAAAAGTATCACATGCTGCGAGACTGTTCGGCTCGTGGCTTATGTTGCTCTGGTTGGCTCGGCTTGTGGCGTTGAAGGTGAGGGAGTCCTTTTTATAAAATAAGGGCTCGCTCCTCAATACATAAATGATGGGCTAGAGTTGATGCTCGCGGTGAGGCGGTTGCTCAGTAGGCGACGATGCTCTCTAATGGTGGTGAGGGAGTCCCTTTTATAGAATAAGGGCTCGCTTTCAATACATAAGTGATGGGTTAGGAGTGATGCTCGCGGCGAAGCGGTTGCTCAGCTGGCGGCGTTGCTCTCTAATGAAGGTGAGGGAGTCCCTTTTATAGAATAAGGGCTCGCTCATCAATACATAAGTGATGGGTTAGGAGTGATGCTCGCAGCGAGGCGGTTGCTCAGCTGGCGGGGTTGCTCTCTAATGAAGGTGAGAGAGTCCCTTTTATAAAATAAGGGCTCGCTCCTCGATACATAAATAATGGGCTAAGTCCCCTAAGTATTTTTCATGAGGCCCAGTTGAAGCCCAATATATGGTACATAATGTAGTCCCCCAAGTCTTCGGTCAATAGAATCTGTTGGCTAGAGACTTCAAATTGAATTCATGTATGGGCCAAAGTGGCGGTTGTTCAGAGGCGGTATTTGTATACCCTGCACTGGAGCTTTGTAGGTGAAGCTTTGCAAGTGAAGCTTTGGAGCTAGAGCTCTGTAAATGAAACTTTCGAAGTTGGAACTTTTGTAAATGAAGCTTTTGAAGCTAGAGCTCTGTAAATGAAGCTTTTGAAGCTGATTGACATGAGTGATGCTTATGAATGTTTATGTTGATTGACATGAGTGATGATCATGGATGTTGTCATAAGTGATGCTCATGAATGTTAACATGAGTGATGCTCATGAATGTTGACATGAATGATGGTCATGAATGTTTATGTATGATTGTCATGAGCGATGCTCATAAGTGTTTATGTATGAATGACATGAGTAATGGCTCATGTATGATTGAAGTACTGGGCATACTTTTGATCACCTGGTTGGTGGCATGAATGAGAGTATGGGTTGTACATTTCATCACCTGGTTGGTGGCATGAATGGCTAGTTGCCAAATGATATTAGAGTACGAGTTGTACATTTCATCACCTGGTTGGTGGTAATAGCGGCAGGTTGCCGAATAATTTTTAGAGTACTGGGCGTACTTTTGATCACCTGGTTGGTGGTAATAGCGGCAGGTTGCCGAATAATTTTTAGAGTACTGGACGTACTTTTGATCACCTAGTTGGAGCTATTTTGGGCTTATGGGCCTTTGCCCTCCACAACATGTCAGCCCATTTATTTTGGGCTTTGCCGTTTTTTTTTTTTTTTTTTTTACCCTCTGATGGGGTTTATACATATTACTCTCTGATGGGGTTTATAAATATTACTCTCTGATGGGGTTTATACAGATGTCTCCAAAAGATAATATAAATAAATTACATCATTCTGGTGGAATGTTTATTCCTTGCTTTTGCTTTTGCTTTTCCCACTCCATTTCTTTCTTTTTTTTTTCTCTTTTCCTTTTGCTTTCCTCTTTTGGCAGTCTGGTCATTACTTTTGCTTACTCAGAAATTAGAAAATGATTTCACATGCATGAAAACCGTGAGCACATGGCTTGCCTTTCCCTGTCAGCTGGATTTCTTCCTTTCTTTTTTTCTGCTGCACTTAATGGGCAGCCATGCTTTCTGCTTTTCCTTTCCATTATTCTCATACCTGGCACCAGCTGCCATCTATTGGGAGAGAGGATTGACACCGGTGAGTTTGCATTGGGTGACGACGATTCTCTGGAGCTCCAACCATCACCGATATCACCGCCATGACCATCATCTTGCTATGC